ACACACACACACACACACTCTCTCACACTCTCTCTCACACACACACACTCACACACACACACACACACACACACACACACACACACACATATATATACATATACACACTATTTTGTGGTGTGTCCTTTCATCTTATCCAGTGTAAGTGTCTGTGGCTCATTTCTGTCAGTGTGTGTGTGTCTTGTCTCGTCTCAGCTCCTGTATGCCTCGTACCTGAGCAGTGGCGCTCAGATGAGTGTGGGCTTGAGCGAGGAGGACAGGAGAGCCGTTCTGCTGTGTCTGAGTCCCCCGTTCGAGGATCTGTTTGACCGGGCGGAAGAACATGCTCTGAGAGTCCTGCTGGAGCCCTGGACGCTGTTATTAGAGAAACTCAGAGATGCACCGCACACTGTAAGAGTCACAATCACACACTCCACTCAACAGTCATCACATGCTGTGGACAGTACAGATACGGCAGGAGTGGTGTGCTATTGTGAACACAGCCACCCTCTCATCATCTCCTCATGACAGTGATCAGTTAATGCAGTGTCTCTGTCTGTAGGTGGCGCAGTGGCAGGAGGTGCGTTACGCCGAGGCTGAGCTCTTCCAGACTCTACAGACTCTTTACACACACACGCAGAGCAGACGACAGCAGGTAATTCACCCAGCACACACCTGATGCTGGTATGTACATTGCGATAGAATAATCCTGCAATGTGAGAGGCTGCACAACCACATTTCAATTTTTTTATTCTAGGACCCTGCCAATTCTACTGCATCAGATAATTCAGATTTAAATGATTAATTAAACAATAAATCATTCCTGAAAGATCAGTAATAGAAATGCAGAATTGAATATTAAGTGCTATAGAATAGTATAAAAATACAGGATCAATCCACTGGTGTGTCGTCCAGCAGGAGCACAGGACTGCAGCTGCTCCAGCAGAGGGCAGCAGAGCGCCGGGTCTTTGGGCAAAGGTTCCGCGTGAGTTCCGCGGGGTCCGTCTGGATTCTCTGCTGAGGAACCGCATGGAACTGCAGCACTTCCTGTCCTTCCTGGAGGAGAATTCGGCCAGGTGAACGAAGTCCAGCAGGACTGATGAGTGTCAAAGAGAAGCGTCCCGTACACTGGTTTGACCTGTGTGTGCATGCGTGTGTGTGTGTGTGTGTGTGTGTGTGTAGTCTGGAACTGCAGTGCTGGCTGGACGTGGAGCAGCTGAAGAAGAGTGATGGAGCGCTGCAGGAGGAGAGAAACACCAGCATCAAAGACAAATATCTCAGCAGCAACTTCCTGTTTGGACCTGACAGCCCGGCCACTGAAGAACAGCAGATGAGGGTACGAGATCAGCTTGCCTGAATGAGCGTGAGTGTGACTGTCTGCATCTCTGAGAGTTTATGAGAGCAGACGATGAATCACAGCACAGTCTGACTGTGTGTATGTGTCTGTGTGTCTGTCTCTGTGTGTCTCTGTGTATGTCTCTGTGTGTGAGTGTGTGTATGTGTAACTGTGTGTGAGTGTGTGTGTATGTGTAACTGTGTGTGAGTGTGTGTGTGTAACTGTGTGTGTCTCTCTGTGTGTGTAACTTTGTGTGCAGTTGTTGCAGATGTGCGGCGGATGGCAGCGTCTCCAGCATGAGTCCGTCTCTCTGTCCGTTCTCACGGAGCTTCAGTCCCTGCTTCACAGTCGTCTAGAAACTCGATGGCTGCCGCTGTTTCTCTCGAGCTCACAGTTCATCAGGCGTCAGCAGCAGAAGGTAACGAAGCCTCCACATGATCATCTGTAACACTTCGACTCTTCTGTTCTTTAAACCTTCCTGTGTGTTAACTAGAGCCCGACCGATATTATCATCACACATCGGTATTGGCGAATATGCCACCGATATTATTTTTTTTTTACAGAACATATAACGCAGATTAAATGCTTCTGAATGGTGTAATTACTTAGTTTGTCCAGCAGAGCTAGATAAACCAGATTGAAAAGTTAGTATCTTTCTGCAGTCCAATAGACGGCAGTGCGGTGGTGGCTTGAGTCTGCTGAATGGTGATCTGAAATCTGAGAATCCAAGCTACTGACCTCTTTAAACGGATCCAAGAGGAGAAATATTGGATAAAGTGTGTCATAACATTCATATCCCCTTTTAATTGTACAGTATTGACAATGACACCTTTTACCTCCGGATCATCTTGTGAACATTCTCCCAGGTCCGTAGGATTGACTGGCCACTCCTTTTCAGGCAAAAGAAGAAACTGTGGTCCGAACACCCAACTCTTGTTCTTCAAAAATGATTCCACTCTCAGCCCTCTGGAAGCCATGTCTGCTGAATTTACTGCAGTGCTCACGTACCTCCATTGTGATGATCGAGACACCTTAAGAATTTCTGAAACTCTGTTGGCAACGAAAATTCGATACCTAGAAACTTTGTTTCTGATATATTTCAGCACAGAGGTACTGTTGTTCCAGAAAACAGAGTCTTGAAGGCACATACAGAGTTCTTTTCTCCACAGTGAATCCATTCGGCTTGCCAACGATGCAGCAGTAAGTACCATTCGAGGAATAGACACTGACTTCAAGGGAGCTACTCTGGCTTTCCCCATTATGAAAGCAACATGCACTTGTGAGTTAACATCATGCAAAAGCAGATAAGTAACTACTACATATCCATCTCCGCTTGCGTCGGAAGAGTGGTGCAACTGTGCTATATTTACTTCTCCAAAACCCATAGGTTTGAAACATCTATCGATCTTGAAGCTTTCTAACTCACGTAATCCATCCAACCAGTTGATCCACTCCTGAGCATTTGTCACTGGAGACAGAATTCCTAAGGGATCATAAACAGAACTCACAGTAGCAAGGATCCCCCTTCTCGTTGAAGGCTTCTGCTGCAACACAATTTTGAACTTGAAGGCATCCGATTGTATACTTCATTGTATGCCTAATCTCCAAAACCCATAGGTTTGAAACATCTATCGATCTTGAAGCTTTCTAACTCACGTAATCCATCCAACCAGTTGATCCACTCCTGAGCATTTGTCACTGGAGACAGAATTCCTAAGGGATCATAAACAGAACTCACAGTAGCAAGGATCCCCCTTCTCGTTGAAGGCTTCTGCTGCAACACAATTTTGAACTTGAAGGCATCCGATTGTATACTTCATTGTATGCCTAACACTCTCTCTATGGCAAGTAAATCTTGGCCCAAATCCAAATCTTTTACGTTTTTTGCTCTGAGTTCTTCTGGGATTTTTACCAGCACGTCTCGATTGTCCATTTTGTCAATGTGAAACCCCTTAGCACAAATAGCTATGAGGTCGTGACACAGAGAAACAGCTTTATCCTCTGAATTTACAGAGACAAGACAGTCATCTACGTAAAAGCAATGCAAGATTGCATCAATTACTTCCTTGCTGCAATCTTCATTATCTTCTGTGCACTTTCTGAGAGCGAAATTTGCACAGCTTGGTGATGAAGTGGCTCCAAAGAGGTGCACGACCATACGATACTCAACCATATCTTGAATAAGGTCACCATCGGGCCACCAAAGAAATCTCAGCAAATCTGCATCGTCTTTCGGCACCTTCACTTGATGAAACATGGCTTCAATATCTGCCATGATCACAACTCGTTCCTTCCTAAATCTGGTTATCACTCCAATCAATGAACTGGTGAGATCTGGACCCTGTAATAACTGGGTATTCAAGACTTCCCTTGGAACGTAGCTCCACAATCAAAAACAACCCGGAGCTTTCCTTTGCGGGGGTGGTAAACACCGTGATGGGGTATATACCATACTTTACCGTCGCTACGTCCCAAGTCTTCAGCTGGCACTCTCTCTGCATAACCTTTAGAGATAAGATCCTTCATGAAAACAGAATATTCAGAATGAAATGAAACATCCCTTTTCAATCTTTTCTTTAGATTCAGAGCACGCTGTTCTACGATTATCTTATTGTCTGGCATACGGACATCTTTCTTCCTCAAAGGCAAGCCAATAGAATAATGACCATCTACCAGCTTTAATGAGTCTGTTACCATCTCCATAAACTTGCGATCTTCTCTTGAAAACCCAACTTGTTCATTTTTGTTACATTCAGGAAAATCAACTTTAAATTGTTGTTGCCAAAGCTCTCCCAAATTTGAAACTGAAATCCTGTTAACTGTAACATCAGGGAACTTAGAAGCAGACTGGTCACCACCTTCTTCTCTTAGTGGGCCATTTACAGTCCATCCTAACCTTGTTTTAATTGCGTAGGGTCTGTTATTGACACTACGGACAACTTCAATCGGCTCCATAACCCTTGGGGCATTTATTCCTATAAGCAATTCGATATCAGAGTCAATTTCAGGTAGATTCACATGTTTCAAATGTGGCCATCCCTTCAAATCCATTTGTCTTGGGCTGTTTCCTCTATGCACAGGCATAGTCTCTTGTGTATAGGCATCAGGCAACTCCCAAAAATCTTCTTTATTCAAACCAGCTACCTCTAACCCAGAAACAACATGGGTAGTTGTAACTTTCTCCTGACCCATAGTACACAAGATAATATTTGTCCTTTTACCTGAAAGACCAAGTCTATTCATCAGTCCAGATGTACAAAACACTGCTGTGCTTCCTTGGTCCAAAAACGCACAAGTAATCACAGTCTTATTTCCTTTTTTAGATTTCACTTGCACAGGAACTATAGAAAGTTTACATTCATACTCCAATAAATCCACTGGACTCAACAGATTCCGGAGCACTGCCCATTACGTTGTCCGTCTGCTTCCTCACTTGCTTTGAATCGCTCACATTTTCTCTTGGGTAGATGTGAAGTATACTAGGATGTTTAAGATTACACACTTTACATGTGCCCTGTACACATACAGCCAAAACAAGTGCTGTTTTCTTTTAAGAATGAAATCTTTTCACCATGACTCCTCTTTTCCAATAGAGGGCACAATTCCAAAGTGTGTCCACATCTGCAAAACAAACAACTCTTGTTGCTGGGTGAACTTGTTTATTTTCTATTAATCCCAATTTCTGATTTCCTTTCCATTGATGTGACCGTAGTAGCAAAACTGCTTCTTTTAAAATTAGACTGAGACTTGCCTTTGTTCACTGATTTTCTTCCTGTTAATGTTGGGACATCCAGTATGTCTCCAAAAACTGGATCACCCATTATTTTTACTTGTCTTTCGACAAAGTTAACAATATCGCTGAAGGTAGCTCTTTGACTTACAGCTTCCTGCAGTTCACAGACCTCTGATCTCCATTTTCCCCTTAATTTGCGTTTATCCATCTCACGCAAATACTGAATATTTTCCATAGAGTTACAACAGCTTCTTAGGAACAAACTATAATCTTGTAAAGCTCGGAGATCTTCACCTTTGATGTTTGCCCACAAAAGAGCCTTTTCCATATAGGCAGACACAATTTTATACTGGTCGCCAAAATGCTTTTGTAGTAAAGCTTTGGCCCTTAAATACCCATGATCGGCTGGCATATGTTGGCAACTCTTTATAATCTCTCTTGGATGGCCCCTAGTGTACTGTTCAAGAAAGTATGAGCAATCACTCGGGCTTTCAGTTTTACTCTCCACAGCACTTTCAAAGGATTTCATAAAAGAATGGTATTGCAGAGGGTTTACATCAAACACCTGAATTTCCCTTTTAGGCAAAGATGACAGACACTGTTGTTGAATCAGTAAAGATGTAATTTCATTTTGTTTATCCATAATATGGAGAATTTGATCAGTATTTCCTGAACCAGTACTAGAGCCACTTCCATACGGGGCACTTATGTTCACATTACCACGCTGACTTATTTGACTTGGGTTTGAAATTGTCTGGGAATAAATGGTTTGGGAAATGTTCTTCTTGTTTGCCTTTGCACCTGTATTGCCGTAATCCTTAGAAGAAAGCATTTGTTGAACTTCAGTTCTGGGAGTAAATGATTTAGCGTCAGCATTAAGGGTCTTGGTTATCTGTTGTCCTTTATCAACATAAGAATTCATTCCATCAGAGTGATGCGTCACTTCACTTTTAACAAAATGCCCGCTAGAGTCCTTAAGCACTTTCACTTTTGCCATAGTTGCAGCAATTTCCATTCGCAACCCAAACTCCCCCTCCTGTTTTCTTAGGTTTTGTTCTTTTTCTTCAATTGCATATTTTTCCTTCATTAGATTTTGACGTACCAACAAAGCTGCTATATCGGCCTCTGCCTTAATGCGTGCTGAAGAGGTTGATGATGTTGTTGAACGTCTTAAGGTGGAGCTTCGTTTACTTCCAACATTAGAAATGCTGTCACTTGGATTTATATCATCTTGGTTATGTATGGAAATTTTGGACATATTCTGGTCTCCCAAACCCTCTACAGGACACTCGGCTGATTCCGACTGTTGATCTTGAGCATTATCACTTGAGCTTTCAATTGCATTTATCCACTGCTTTGTGTCTTTTATAAAGGTGTCACTGTGCTTGTATACACTCGGGAACCACTCATTCTGTTTGGTTTGCTCATCACTGGGTAATAACGGGATCAAAGAATCGTGAAGTTTGATTGTCTCTTCAAAAACTTGCATCAAGCCTTCAAGTTCAGACCGCACAGCCCCCTACTCATTAGAACGAGCGAGAGTAGGTCCATACTCAGCCAGATCAAATCTGCTCTTGCTTCCAGTCGTCGAAGCGTGCGGGCCTCCTTCCAGATCGACTCATTCATCCTCGAACAAAAACATTATTTTATTGTTGACTAGATTATAGCGGCCAAAAAACTAACTAAAGCCGCAGGAGCTGAGTGAGGGAATAAATTGTGACACGTCAATCATCCTTTACATTTGCGTCTTGAGATTTATTTGTCCACCGACAACTTGTTCATTGAGGCATGCATTTCTTGAAGGATCGGCAGATTATCAATGCAAAAGTTTGAATGTACGGTCAACAAAAAAATGCGTGCTCCCCATAGACTGTGTAAAAACATGGACGTAGTGTCCGTGACGTCACCCGTAGAGTTCCATATATATAGACTGTGTCTGTGAATATTAAACTGCAAAAAGATTATTTAAATACGAATGTTCTGCATGTTCATTGGATTACCAGAAAATACACAACACAGAGTTTGTGAAAAAAACAATTTAATTATTATTATTTATTAATTTTAGACGTTTACATTTGGAAAAGCTGTGCTTCCTGCATAAACCTGCCTCTGTTGGTTTGGCAGTAGCTTGCTTGCCCTTCACAGTTACCTTGTTTCATCTCTTAATTCAAGTTATATATATTTTGTTCTATTTGTGTTATTTATAATAAGTGAAGTGAAGTTTACTGTTAAGTGCGCTGATGTCAGACTCACTTTGAATAATAAAGTTTATTGTTAAATTGTTAAATACCCTGCCTCCATTACATAGGCCTATGTTTGTCACATCATTATAAGTGTTTGATCACCACATTCGAGTGATCATTGCAAAAAATGTGTTTATGTATATATATTCTGTTTATGTATATACTGTATTCTATATATAGTACCAGTCAAGAGTTTAGACACGAATGGGAAGTGTGTCCAAACTTTTGACTATACTGTACTATAATATAGCCTACACATAAAGAATATCGGCCGATATATCGGTATCAGTATTTTTTACTCCTAATATCGGTATCGGTCCCCAAAAAACTCATATCGGTCAGGCTCTAGTGTTAACGGGTCCCGTCATATACTGATACCTTAAACACTATTTTCAAAACAACAAATTAATTGTAGTCTTGCAGTTTTCAAACCTTTTGACTCCAAGGCCCTCCATCATCACAGCAATATTCAGAGGCTGAGTACAACGCTTCCTGTGGTTCATCTGCCACACAGAAACTAGAAGTGTCCATAGATTAAAATAAGTAACTGAAATATTAATTAAAATGAAACTGCACTGCACTTTTTAATTTTAATTTACACAACCTTTCCAGTCATTCCTGATCTACTGTACAAGGATTCAGGATCAGGATTTTTTTGTTTTAATTTCAGTTTCTACCTCATCTTTGTTATAACTAGTCAATTGTATAATCATTATAAAAAAGCCAGAATTTCCATGACTTTTCCAAGTACTGTCTTTTTCCAGAAACATCTTTGTGTTTATTTAAGGCAAGACAAATCTCCACTTCAGCATCACTTAAAGCAAACTGTAGATTTATTCCTCTCTATATTGTGAAGGCTTTTACATTCACACTGATTTATACAACATTTTACTCCTAAAAACATATGAAAGTTTTTGTTGTTGTTGACAGTATTTTCTGATTTGAGTAATAAGAGAAAACCAAAAACCTCTAACTCTGTCAGGAAAATCAAACCTGGCTTTATCCAGTGTTCTGGACATATATGCAAATTAGTGCATATTTGATTAGATCATGCATTTTATTGCATATTAGATAACATTTCAGAAAACTTGTCAGACGGACTGATGAGAGATGTTCTGAGGAGCAGATCACTGATGTTCTCTGATGTCCGTCTCGCCTCACGTTACCTGTCAGCAAATTACACCTGAGATTCCTCCGGTTTCCTAATTACACTAATTACAGTAATTACCCAAAACACCTGCTGATCAGATCCTCAGACAGCAGCTGACAGAGACGCCCCTGTTCCGCATGCACTAAACACAGATGATGAGCATTAAACCAAACCAGGTGTCTGTGAATCTGTGATCTCCTGCTCATGTACATCCATAGTGACATTCACACACATCATAAAGAAAACTGCAGGACAAGTGAATAAATATATGGTGGAATCTCTCTCGTGCGGCTTCATCTTCACTCACACTCGTCCTCTGATGACTGGAGGCACTGATGACATCATGTCCTGTGACGTGTGTGTGTGTGTGTGTGTGTGTGTGTGTGCAGGGGTCAGACGTGGAGTGTGAGCAGCAGCCGGTCGTCCGTCAGCGCAGGAGGAGACACGCGTGGAAGGTGAGTCCATCTTCATTCTGACACGATCCTGTCATTTGGACAAAGATACATTTTTCCCGTTTTCTCCAGTTCCTCCTCAATAGTGTCAGTTTGTCTTCTAATTGAGTTCTTATTTATTTTATGAAATAGTTTTTGAATAGTGATTTTTTTTCTTTCTGGACACATTGTGCTGTTCATGCATTAATGTCGCTGTTTTTCTGTCAGCACGTCCAGATCAGGAACTCTGCTAACGGTCTGTAATTGATTCCTGTGTCTAATAATCATTGTGACTGTAAGAGCCGCTGTACGTCACGCTCATGTCAGGATGGGACTGTAACATTCCTGCCAGATGATTTAGAAGATCTCGTCCAGTGTGTTCCAGCTGCACACGTGTGTGTGTGTGTGTGTGTGTATAACTCTGTGTGTGTATAACCCTGTGTGTGTGTGTGTGTGTGTGTGTGTGTAGCTCTCTGTGTGTGTAACTGTGTGTGTGTGTGTGTGTAGCTCTCTGTGTGTGTAACTGTGTGTGTGTGTGTGTGTAGCTCTCTGTGTGTGTAACTGTGTGTGTGTGTGTGTGTAGCTCTCTGTGTGTGTAACTGTGTGTGTGTGTGTGTGTAGCTCTCTGTGTGTGTAACTGTGTGTGTGTGTGTGTGTAGCTCTCTGTGTGTGTAACTGTGTGTGTGTGTGTGTGTGTGTGTGTGGCTCTCTGTGTGTGTGTAACTGTGTGTTGTGTGTGTGTAACTGTGTCTGTGTGTGTGTGTGTGTAGCTCTCTGTGTGTGTAACTCTGTGTGTAACTGTGTGTGTGTGTGTGTGTCAGCAGGTGTCTGGAGGTCTGATGAGCTCGTCTCAGGAGTCGGTGGCTCTGCGCAGGGCTCTGTTGAATCCCGTCACCCGTCTGCAGTTCCAGAAGTTTCTGTCTGTTCGTGATGATCTGCTGGAGAATGATCTGTTCTTCTGGCTGGAGGTGCAGAGATACAAGGTGAGACGAGCACGAGACGCTCCACACACTCATCTGGAGAAAGAGCTTCGTCTGTCTTAGTCTGTGGATAATTCAGTCTTCATTCCTGATGTTGTTAAACCAGTAAGCGTCAGAATAACTGCAGTAATATCTTCAGATGAACACTTACTGGACTGAAGCAGCTCAGCTTTACTTGATTCTCCATCAATCATGTTTTAGAGTCTCAAATCTGATCCTCAGGATCTTTTGAGGAGCGTTTGTTTCCAGAAGCTTTACTTTCACTGTTCCTCAGCGGAGGAATGATCTTCACAAGCCTCCAGAACATCTCACATCTTCTGAGGAGCCTTTATTTCTTCAGCTCTCGATCACTGCGTTATATGTTTGGAGCATTTCACTCTCATCTTACTGAGACAGATTACTGGAGATATAGAGCGACCGCTGATATTTAGATCATTTTATGTCAGTATCTGCTCTACTGTTATAAACATCTCACTGATTTACATCGCTGCAGATGCTGATCTTTATGTTTGTAGATTCATAGAGTCTCTGAATAAAATTGGGCTGTTTTATCCTCCATATTCTCACTGTATGAGCCATAAAAGCCTGATGGAGCAAATATAATACAGAACATAAAACACACATGCAAACATTTGTTTTTAGATTTTAAGGTTCAGTAAACTGTGTGTGTAGGATCTGTGTCACTCCCGCTGTGATGACGTCACGCTCCAGAGGAAGGTGTCCATCATCATCAGCTGCTTCATCAGTTCGTGCGTCCCGCCGGCGCTGCAGATCCACGTTCCTCCTGACGCAGCGCAGAGAGTCGTGAGTCAGCAGCGAGCGCTCGGCCCGTACGTCTTCAGAGAGACGCAGGTGTGTGTGTGTGACTGACAGACATCTTCAGACTGACACACTCCTCCCGTCTGACCCCTTGTGTGTGTGTGTCAGGCGTGTGTGTTTGACGAGCTGCTCAAGCACTGGCCGGATTTCGTCGCATTGCGCTCCGCCGTCGGGGAGAACGAGCTTCAGCGAGTGCTGGAGAGAGAGACACGGAGCAGCAGACCAACAGAAGAGCAGGATGACAGCAGCTCTCAGGTGCGTCATGTGGCGTGTGGTCATGTGACGTGTGGTCATGTGGATGTGTGACGTGTGGTCATGTGACGTGTGGTCATGTGACGTGTGGTCATGTGGATGTGTGATCGTGTGTATGTGTGATCATGTGACGTGTGATCATGTGATGTGTGGACGTGTGACATGTGATCATGTGACGTGTGATCATGTGATCGTGACGTGGATGTGTGACGTGTGATCATGTGACGTGTGGTCATGTGGATGACGAGCTTCAGCGAGTGCTGGAGAGAGAGACACGGAGCAGCAGACCGACAGAAGAGCAGGATGACAGCAGCTCTCAGGTGCGTCATGTGGCGTGTGGTCATGTGACGTGTGATCATGTGACGTGTGATCATGTGGCGTGTGGTCATGTGACGTGTGGTCATGTGGATGTGTGACGTGTGGTCATGTGACGTGTGGTCATGTGGATGTGTGATCGTGTGTATGTGTGATCATGTGACGTGTGATCATGTGATGTGTGGACGTGTGACATGTGATCATGTGACGTGTGATCATGTAGTCATGTGATCGTGACATGGATGTGTGACGTGTGATCGTGTGGATGTGTGATCATGTGACGTGTGATCATGTGATCGTGTGTATGTGTGATCATCGTGTGTATGTGTGATCGTGTGCTCATGTGATCATGACGTGTGGTCATGTGACGTGGATGTGTGATCATGTGACGTGTGATCATGTGATCGTGTGTATGTGTGATCGTGTGATCATGTGATGTGTGGTCATGTGATCGTGTGGATGTGTGACGTGTGGTCATGTGACGTGTGATCGTGATGTGTGACGTGTGATCATGTGATGTGTGATCGTGATGTGTGACGTGTGATCATGTGATGTGTGATCGTGATGTGTGACGTGTGATCATGTGATGTGTGATCGTGATGTGTGACGTGTGATCATGTGATGTGTGATCGTGATGTGTGACGTGTGGTCGTGTGGATGTGTGATCATGTGATCGTGTGGATGTGTGACGTGTGATCATGTGACGTGTGATCATGTGATCGTGTATATGTCATGTGATCGTGTGTATGTGTGATCGTGTGCTCATGTGATCATGACGTGTGGTCATGTGACGTGGATGTGTGATCATGTGACGTGTGATC